TCACTTGGTTAACTGACAGCCAGATTAACTCTGACCTAGTTTAAATACAAGCTCATACAACATGTCGTCGATTGATATGATTCTTCGCCTTGGAAATATTCGAATAAGTATTGGTCGATATATTATGCCACTTATTATAATGATCGGCAATTTGAGTTTTGTCCTATCGCTTGCTGTTTTGCTTCGAAAAACAATGCGTCAAAATCCAACTGGCCTCTATTTATTGTCATATACATTGTGGAGTTCTTTGTTGCTTAATCTGGTGATAATTCCCAAATGTTTAGACGTTGGTTTCAATGTTCGGCTCACTGTCATCGCCTCGGGTCTCTGTAAAGTCTATCTGTACTTTAACTACGTGACGAATAGTACCAGTATGACATTTCTTCTTTTGGTTTCTATGGATCGCGCATTAGTCTCCTCGTTGCAAGTTAGCGCTCGACAGTTAAGCACTCGTCGTATTGCCATGAAGATCATTCCTAGCGTTATTATATTCTGGTCCGTGATTCACATACATGCATTGTTTTTCTCGACGATAATAGTCAATGGGGGTAATTCCAAATCAGGCGCCGCCCAGCCGGGTGCATACACAGCTTTTATAATATATTTCAGTCTCATTGTGGACGGCTTTCGTCCGCCGATATGTATGTTTGCTTTTGGTTTACGCACAATAACCAATATTCGCCGTACAAAAAGAAGAGCTGTGAATCAAGTACGTTCGCTTGACCGTCAGTTAATCACGATAACATTCCTTCAGACTGTTAGCTATATTAGTTTTCGTCTACCACATGCGATCTATCTCGTCTATATACTAGTTGTCGTACCGAAAGATCGTCTCCATCAAACACTCGGAAAGTTTATTCAAGAATTTCTTCGCATGTGCGTGTGGATACCACACGCCTCATTCTTTTTCGTGAACTTGGCATCACATGGCTTTCGAACAGACTTCAAGAAATCTATATGCAATTTAGTCGGCCAAGCTAGGAACCGGCTATAGCAGCATATATAAAGACGGGTTAATATCGACCATGTCATCAATGTAACTTGAGTTACGTCATTTGATACACGATTCCATTACCTGTCACGAAATTGTTTTTTGAAGTTAAAATACACTGTTCGATAGAGCTCTTCAAACTGAACCCGAACGTGTGGTTTTTAGTTTTTGCAAATGCTTTTCTCATGTCGAAAGTCCAAAAATCCTTTGCGTTTATTAAAATTTACTTTGTCGACTTATGTTACAACATGGAATATTCCAACTAGTTTTTTCTCAGTCATCATCGGAAACTGAATTAGAAATTAGTGTTAGATCTAGTTCAGAGGTAAATACTTGTCTGCCAGGGACGTTCGAATGGACAGACGCTAAAAGGATGTGAGTCATTTTGTAAACCTATCTAGTTTTTGTGTGCAGGAATGAAACTACAATTTATACCTCATTGTATCCCCCAACACTCCAGCTTCAAAAGTACCGATCGCTTTTTCAAAAGTTCCTTTTTCTTGCCGAGAAAAGTCAACTTTACGGGGAAAAATCAATTGTGCGGCCAAGGTGTTCAAAAACGAAATGCACTTCGCACTGTGCAAACTGTTGTTTTAACACTTTTATACCATTAAAATGAAAAGACTCCAGTTCGCTTCATTCTTTCAATTCGTAAATGCACACTGTTGAGAGTATTTTACGAATTTCGTAAATGCACATTGCTAGATCTAAGGTTTATACTACTCAATAATTTTCATGTTCGAAGGATTCGCAAATGCGAAGTGTATGCTAAAAGTAGACAATTCGTAAATGCACCTTGCAGAGCGTGGACGAAGCGCAGGAATTTCAAAACTAGATGTTGCTGATAATTCGCAGCGAATAATGCTGATAATCGTACTTCTGATTAATCAATTCTCTTATTAGTTTTGATTTATTTGGATTATCATCACTTATTGTTGAGTGTAAATTTAGTAAACTGAATAAGACCGGATATTCATAGTATTCCAAAATCTCACATAAATTTTTAAGCAATGTCTTGTTTACATCTGTGAAACTGCTGCTTTCTTTGTAGTTCATCTAGAACAGGTCAAATGTAAACAGAAGCTGAATTAGATTTAGCATTAGTTTTAAACCTAATCTTTTATTCTGAAATTTCTATCACTAGCCACTAGATCTATTCCTCGTGAACTCCGACCTGCAGAATTTTATTTACAGAAAGATGGAGTCAGTTGATGACGAGCACAGTTAAAAATTACAACAACAATCACAGTTCACAAAACGAACAAAATGAAGAAACAATCACAGTTAAACTGTAACGCCAACAAACTTGATAAAACATAATAAATAGCATGAGGATGAAAAGACTAATAAAAGAAAAATTTGAAGAACACAGATCTTCGTTCGAAGAGGTCCATAGTTCATATGATTAAAAAAAACATTAATCACGCGTGTGAACAACTACTATTTGGTTGTTGTGTGTTGCTTATCGTTTATCATGCTTTTGGCTTCGCGTTTTGCTGCTGCAATTGCTGTTGGTAATGTTTGTTTTAAATTTGCTGGCGTTGGTGAAGGACGAGCATGATTGATTTTTTGGTGTGACTGTGGTATTGTATCATTAGGAATTCTTGGTGATGAACCTGGTGTACGTAGTGGTGGAGCTGCTGAATCCGGCGCATATTTTACCAACGACATTTGATCGACGAGTTTATCATACGGTGGGTTCACCAGTGTTGTTGTTAATTCCACTGATAGTTTAATTTTATCATTCTTTAAATCAACTATCTGTGTATTTAAGCGACGATAACTTTCTATGTTCATATCGACAGCTGCCAAATATTGATTAAACATAATTTTGTCTTTCGTACTGTTTTCGATCGAAAATTTTAATAGATAAACATGGTGATGGTATTCTTTTCCATCTTTCGAAACGGTTGAAGCACCACCAGGATAATGTTGCATTAATTTTAAATCATTGTACATGTAATTAAGAAGTGCTTGTATCATTGATGATCTATTTTTATATCCACGAAAGTAACCTAAACGGAAATAAGGCACACCATGCGTATTCATCAGTTAAGTTTGAGATGTCTTACATGCTTGGATGCTGGAACCTCTGCCTAATGAATTAATTCTGAACTGCTAGTTTCGGTAGCAACTTCGAAAGCACTCTCTTAACCTCAACTTACTCATGATTGCAACAAAATAGTAAAGACTTTCAAAATGAAACAAAGTATCTCACTTTTTAGTCCATTAACAGACTGCTGTAATGATGTTAATGTCTCTAATATTGGCCCTTCTTTCAATACTGTTTTGATCAAATCGACAGTTACTTTCGATTGCGGATTGAATGCTCCCATTTTTTCGGCTTTTACGTTTGATGTTGTTTGATTATTTTGAGGATGTGTAACATATACTGTTGAATCTGTTAAATACAAATCAATATCATCAACGTTAAAAAACGACTCATATTGTCGTATGATCATTGTTGTATAATAGATGGGCGAATTAACAATAGTTTCTTCAATAAAAAGTTGTCGTTGATCATTATTGTGCGGAGTAAAGAAGTGTTCTTCAGTTAATTGTTCAATTACTAAATACAATTTTTTATCAGCTACACCGGCATCAAAACTACCATGTTTTTGTAAATATTGTTGAGCAATAAAACCTGCCATTTCAAGATGTTGTATCTGCGTAACATGGCGATAGACGTGATTTCTGGCTTTTAACAAACGAGTTTTCAACCAGTCATCATAAAGCCATGGACGTATTAAAAGACCCAGGTCTTCTATTCTGTCTTTTTACTTACAAATTCTTAAAGGGGTCTTCTATTATGTCCTTTAAAAAGTCATGTTTTTGTAGACGTATAATGATAAATTTC